GGAGAATCCTGTGATGGTGGCTATTTAGCATTTTAACAAACTGCAAACTCTTTGAAAATCAATTTTTCCACTTTGTCACCAGTATTTGGTATAATCATTCTCTAACTTTGTCGTTCTAATAGGTATGTATACATATATTTTACTGTGTAAATTTTTCTAATATTAATTAGGAACATCTTTTCATGAGCTTATTGGTATTCTTTGATGACATTTTTGTTCAGATGTTTTAAAATTGTCGTACTTTTCCTATTTTTGTACTCAGTGTTTGTCTACCAAATATAATACTTTCATTTGTGGTAGCTTGGGATAGGGACAGGTTTCAGTGCAATAGTTTTGTACCTGCTGTCACTGAGTCCCAAGCAACTTGATGGCACATAACAAGAAGGTGATTTTAATGTATAAGCAGCCAGGGTTCTGTAGGCCCTGGAATCACCTAGAAGACTTGCTAAAGAGTGCTAGGCCCTTTTAGAGTTTTATTTAGATCTGAAGTGAAGCCTGAAAAGATGCATTTCTAACAAGTTTTTAATAATTTGGAGAGTCACCTTAGCAACAGGTGAAGGAAGGAAAGAATTTATGGAAATGGATTTGTAGGCTTAGCTTTCAAAATTTTAGGGAGTGCCTTTCTCATAATTTTGTTTTTAGTAATGTAGAAGTGTTATGTTCATCCATCCACCAAGACTTAGTTAAGAGGTCCAAAATTTGAGGAGTAATAGAAATTAATAGCCATCATTAGAGGATGAAAGAACAAGTCGACTGATGCATCAGTTCATTTTTACCACCTGGTAAAAGATCTTGTTGGGATCTTAATTTTGTCAGATTGCAAGAATTGCACAGGATCTGATCGGATTTCTTTCTTTTGTGTATAGGGTTATTTGTGAGTCAGAGACTTCAACAATATTTGGTGAAAAGTTTATGTTTACTGTCTCTTTTTGTTGCTTTAAGAAGCCCTGATGATATAGTGGGTAATGTATCTGGCTTCCGACCAAAAGATCAGCAATTTAGGATGAAATATGTTTACGGTATTGAAGTCTATGGGGGAGAGAATAGTCTAAAAGTATTATATTTTAGGGCATTATTTTT